GAGGGCCCCATGAAGGCAGCTACAAAGGCAGTTTAGAGACAAAGTTCAGACAAAAAGGAATCTGCAGGTGGAAGCCTAAACTGTGGGCAGATTGGAGTTAGAGCCTCTGTAGGTTCTAGAACAAATCACCGCACAGTAGCAAATATCCTATGGACAGACTCCTCTGTGTCCAATTTCAGTTATTCTATGACTTTGATTTTATTTATTTTGTAAGTGTGTGCATACGTGGAGGTCAGAGGTCAATGTCAGATATATTCTCCAGTCACTCACCACCTTATTTTTTAATGCAGGATGTCCATTGAGCCTACAGCTTGCTAGTTTGTGGAGAGGTTGGCCAACGAGCCTTAGCATTCTCCTGCTTCTGTCGCCCCAGTGCTGGGATTACTGTCACACTTGACCATGCCTGGGATCTGAGCTCAGGTCCTAACGTTTGAGTAGCAAGCGCTTTATCAATCACGCCATCCCCCAATCTGTTAAGTCTCAACCTTCAAACCCCTAAGTGCCAGTGAAACAGAAGGATTGCTGACAGATAAAAGTTTACACTCAGCGTTCCTCAGGAACCTGTGAGGCAGGTTTCTGCCTGCCAAGAAGAGCCGCTTCCCATATCTTCCTCTATCTCTAGCAAAAAGGACACCTGGCTCCCGATTAGCACGTACCTGTAACAAAGCATAGCACCACTCTAGCTCCCGGGCTGTTCTGCCTTTCACATCTCTCTCCCCAGAGCTACCTGCTCTCTGGCAAGGCTCTCCCCTGCCTTTTTGTGTCCCTGAAAGGTAGCCATGGCAGCTTTGGACTCCCCAAATGCCTCTGGCTATTCTCTCTCTTTACCACCGGAGAGTTAGCCCTGCAGAACTTTCATGTTTACAGGAAACCTTCTTCCCGTCCATGGAGAGGTCTAATTTGATGGTTACTATGCTCTCACTTACACTGTCCTGCTGAGAAAAAAATCCAGAGTTTAGAATTAGACAATGAACAGGTCTAGAATATGGTAACCTAGAAAGGTATGATGTAGACATAGCGTAAGTTTTCATTAAGATGTACGTTAGTAATTAAAGTGAAATCCTCAGACACTAATGAGTAGATGTCACAGAAGTAAAAAAAAATGTATTAATATTAAAAAAAAAGCTGAATGTGGTGGTACTTTTTTTTTTTTTTTACTTTTTATTGATTCTTTGTGGATTTCACATCATGTATCCTGTTCCCATTCATCTCCCTGTCCCTTTGTATCCGCCCTCTGCCCTTGCAACCTCCCTTCCCTCCCCCCTCCAAAATAAAATAAAATTTAAAAGGAAAACAAAAACAGAAGCAAACAAACTAAAAACAAAAACAAAACAACAATAAAAAACCCGATCAATAAAATCTCGTTGTGGAAGCTGTAGTGTGTCTCAGTGAGTCACACAGTATATCCTTTAGTCTATAAATCTTTACTTGCAAATGTTTACTGCAATGAGTCATTGGTCCGATTCCAGGCCTCTGGCTTCTGCTACACCATCGATACTGGGGCCTCCCTGGGACTCCTCTCGGACAGATATCCCGTTGTTGTCCTGTGTCATGGAGAACCTGCAGCTTTGGATCGGCAGGTCTGGCCCCTTCCCAGGCTTCAGCAGTTCATAGATGAGGTGGGTGTTGGGGTGGGCTAACTCATAGCCTTTGTTCTGAACTTGGGCGATGGCTGTGCTGGTCAGTCCACCAGCTGTCCCTCATCGTCACCACCAGAGCGAGCTCTCCAGCACTGCCCTGGCTAGCTCACCCAGTGCAGCAGACAGCAAGGAGCAGGACCAGTTCTTCTGCTCTCATGCCCTCGGGGCTGGCTCACCTGCACCCACACCACCAGGGCCAGCTCTACTGTCTTACCCAGGCAAGGTACAGGGCCCGCTCTCCTGAGTGCTGCAGTTGGTGAGGGGCAGGACCAGCTCTCCTGCTCTCGTGCCCCACCCCAGGCCACCTCTCCCTCCTGCTGCAGGTGACGAGAGAAGGAGGCATCTTTTTCTCACCCATGCCCACATGGCACATGGCGGGAGCAGGGTCAGCTCTCCTGCTCTCACACCCTCAGGGCTGGGTCACCTGTGCCCCCACCAACAGAGTCAGCTCTAGTGTGCCCTGCAGGCAAGCTTCAGGGCCCACTCTCCTGTGTGCTACAGCTGGTGAGGGCAGGGCCAGCTCTCCAGCTCTCATGACCTCAGGACAAGCTCTCCCACCTGCCACAGGCGTTGAGGGGCAGGTAGAGGAGCGGGCATCTCCACCGCATGGCAGATGAGGGTGTAGGGAGACAAAATAGAGGGTTAGCAGAGGCAGTATGACTGAAAATACTAATAGCGTTCAAATTAAGCTATTAGTGGCCATTGGCTGTAAAGCCAGAGCAGAATTACTGGGCATCGGGATCATAGAATGACATGAGACTCTTTCAAGCCTCAACAGCATAAAAATTTCTTTTTTTTTTTTTTTTTTTTTTTTGGTTTTTCGAGACAGGGTTTCTCTGTGTAGCTTTGCGCCTGTCCTGGAACTCACTTGGTAGTCCAGGCTGGCCTCGAACTCACAGAGATCCGCCTGGCTCTGCCTCCCGAGTGCTGGGATTAAAGGCGTGCGCCACCACCGCCCGGCTGCATCCAGCTTTTTAAGGCCGGGATTGCGTGACCACGAGCTGTTTGTTGATGATGTAAGACACAAGACGCCAGGCCCCCAGCTGCACATGTACAGAATCCTAACATATGCTTTTTAAACTTCACTTTTTTCTTGAGACAGGATATCACTAAGCATACTATTTTGGCCTTGAACTCACAGTTGTCCCCCAGCTTCAGATTCCTAAGCTCTAGGATGACTGACATGCACCACCATGCCTGGCTTATAATTAAACATTTTAAAATGTATTTCTTGCTTCTGAAAAAGACCAATGGAACTTATATTTTAGCTTTAAATTGTTACATTTAAACTGTTTTTAAATAGGGGAGATTCTTGTGGTTTCCCAGTTGTGTAAGAAACTCACCTTATGTGAAGTAAGTGCAAACACCAAATCGGGACTATATCCTTTATGTGTAAGCCACGAAAAATGATGTAATAAATAGAAATAAACTCATTTCTTAAAAAAAAAAAAAAGAGTCAAACTCACGGAAATTTGACCTAACAGAGAGTGTGGGTTTGATGAAGCTAAGGCTGGCTTGCAAGAATCCTGGGATGTCTGGCTGTGGCCCAGATTCTTTGGGAGTTCAAAATGGAGACTCTGGCTCAAGTACCACTTAACTCTTCTCCATCCACCCCACCATGCATCCTTCATCCTCTGAGAGGCCTGCAGCCACACTCAGCTCTGCTCCACACCAGAACGCCTAGGAAGCTGGCCTGCGCTGGCTCCCTGGTCCTCACAATCGAAGCCAACATACCACTGGATTCTGTCACAAAAGCGAAGCGAAGCTTGAGGATGTCAAGGCATTACTCAGGAACCAACCAACGGTGATAGGTGTTTCTCAGCCTGGCTGGGTGGAGAGATGCCTAGAAGGTTTAGCCGCGCACACCTCTGGGTAAGTCTGGGAGGGTGAGTCCAGAGAGGAGTCAGGGGAAGACGTGCCCTGAGTGAATGTGGGTGGCACCATCCCACAGGCTGGAGGCCCCTCATGGAAACACAGAGGAAGGAGAGAGGGGGCCAGCACAGGCCTTGAACTGCTACCTGACTGCTCTTCTGGGTCACACCCTCCCTGCCTCGATGAACAGAAACTTAAAAGTAGGAGCAGAGTCACTCAGAGTGGAAGGAGGCATCTCCACCATCCACTTGTCCTGTTCAGGTCACTGTCACAAAAAGTCCAACACAGCAGTGGAGGGTGGTTAGGTTTATAAAGCAATCCATATGTTCTCTTCACATTTGGAGAAAAAAAATTTTTTTTTTTTTCTGTCAAAGGTAGTTAGCCTGGCAAGGGCCAATATTCCATAAATCTCCTCCGGACTTTAATCTCCCTCATCTGGCAAATCTTTTGTTTACACAAAGGCCTGGTTGCAGAACTTGCTAGTCTGGAGTGGCCCGCCCCCTCCCCCTGTCTTTCATTTCCTAGTTCTTTCAGAACTAGCCAGTCTTGAAAGACTGTGAGGTCAGAGCCGGGGAAGAAGGGTAAGACAGTCAGTCACCTAGAATAAAACCTAAGAGAGCGCCCAGCTCTGGAGCGCTTGCTAGCTTCTGGTGCAGCCTTTTTGTGAAGAGCAATTGCCTTGCCCGGCAGCTTCCACTGTGTTTGCATACCGTTTGGGCAGTGCTGAGGCAGCCTCCTTTTCTGTTCTCAACAATGCTGATAGACACGGAAAAAACAAACAAACAAACATGAATTTTGTTGTCAAACATGTTTCCAAGCCCAGATCTGTTACCTAATAGTGGTGTGGCATCGAACGGCTTGCCAGATCTCTCTGAGGCTGTTTTCTCATGGGCAAAACAGAAATAAACAAATTAGAGAGAGAGAGGGAGAGGGGGGAGAGAGAGAGAGAGAGAGAGAGAGAGAGAGAGAGAGAGAGAGAGAGAGAGAGAGAGAGAGAGAGAGAGAGAGAGAGAGAGAGAAAGGGAGAGAGAGGTCATTGAATAGATTTCATGAAATTGTCAACAGGTATTTAAATTGGGAGCACAGCAACTCCTGTCCCTAGATGCCTGGCCAACAGAGAACAAATTTCAATGGCTGCTGTCATCATATTGTCACTGGGTAATACTCCAGGATTTATCAGAAAGCTTTGCAGCTTGATTAAAATTCCTGAGGGTCTCAGCTACCAAAGCTGTCCCAGGACAGAGGTAGGTCATCTGTGTCCGAAACTTCAGAGCAGCGACACGGGCAGAGAATGTAAGGCGGGCAAACCCAGCTTGGGGCTGATTGGGCAAAGCCCCGGAAGCAGCTCTGCTGGCAGCCTCTGTGCTTCCGGGAACCCTGGCTGAGCATGGGAGGGGCCCGTGGGAGTGATGAGCCAAAGCATTGAAGAACAGCTCACCCCACCCCCCAACCTCCCACCCCCACCCCCCACCCCCCGCGCCCCGGCAGCCTTGACCAGTCATTCCTTTCCCTGGAGGAGGACGAAGGCATCCTGACCATGCCGTCCACGCTCCGAACGCTGAGCCACAGTGAGATTAGAGACGCACAGGAGGTTCGGAGTCACTGCTGACTTGAGGAATAGCTGTGCCCTGTGATAGACTGAGCTGAAAGGAGTGTTCTGGAAGACCACTCTGAAGTAGGGCAAACGCAAACTGGTTTGCAAGATGACTCAGAGAAGGGCGATGGGACTTTATCCGGATATGGAGTTTTCAGACTTTCAATGTGGCCATGGAGAAGGAAAATAGAGTTATTGAGGAAGACTTGTGAGGCTCACCCCTAGCTGAGGAGCGGTGGGAGTTAACGGCTGCTGGGAAAATGGAGCTGGTTTTCTTCTCGCTGCCAAGGTGTCTGCGCTGTGGTTGGTAGCCGCACAGCCATGCTCACACACGAAAGCAGGAGGTGGGAAGGGGACTTGTGGAGAAGAAGGGTCCCATAGGGACCAAGAGGAGGGTAAAAGAGAGGAATGGGGCGGGTAAAAATGCTTTCTCTCCTGGCTGTGGTGTCTTTAATCCCAGCACTCGGGAGGCAGAGGCAGGTGGATCTCCATGAGCTCAAGGCCAGCCTGGTCTACAGAGTGAGTGTGTATAAATGTATTCTTTGACAACTTCATATGTATTTATTAAAACTTATATTTTATCAGAAACTTATAAATAAAAAAACCACCATGTATCAAAATTAACTAGACCCAAAGTCTAGTGAACTTCTATACTGTTAGAATAGCCATTCTGAAGCTGTGGAACTTGGCATTGGATTTTATACTTTCACTACTGAATATATTTTTATGTACTTACCTACCACTCTCCAAAAAAAAAAATTTTTGTCAAGTTCATAACAATGTTAAAACTAGAAAAAAAAAACCAAAAATCAAAAAACAACCCAGCTTTATATCTTTTTTCATAAACTGAGTGTCCATGATCTGCATTCAGTCCATCCTCATGACTTAATGTTAAATAATAAAATCTAAGAAACGTGTTTGGCTGGCCATGGTGGTGCATGCCTTTGATCCTAGCAATCGGGAGGTAAAGGCAAATGGATCTTTGTGAGTCTGAGACCAGCCTGGGCTACACAGGGCATGCCAGGCCAGTCAAGGCCTACACACTGACACCTGGTCTCAAAAAAGAAAGAAAGAAAAAAATAGAGTAAGTTATTAAGGCCCCAAGTTTCATCTGAGTGTCTTTAAACATGAATCCTTATTATGGGACCTGAGTGGTCATGGTCCTGGCCCGGCTTACCAAAAGTGTGCTTGTGGTGCATGCTGGGAACTATGAACTGTTGGTTGTGAGGGAAAGTTCCACTCAGCCAAGGTGCCAGCCACCAAGTGGCCAGAAGAGCTGGCCCCACCATTCCTCCAGGAAGTAAACCCTTGAATGTTGGTTGGCCCGTGGGCTGCACTGCTAGGTGAATATCAGAAGATGAGGCTGGCGGGGTTCCCTTCCAGACCGTCTGCAGCTGCAGGAAGCCCGGGAAACAATCACTGGGAACATGCAGAAAAGCTGAATGATGCTGCTGTATTCTCACAGTAGGGGCTGGAGGGCGGCTTCTACTCACAGCATCTGGAAGGATTGGCAGAATTCCTAAGTAACATATTCGGGAAGAAAAATCTTTACATGCTGAGTTAGGACTCAACAGACTTTTGGAATGAGCCTGGACAACATGTTGAGAGGACCTCGACCTAGTCCTGACACTGGAGAAGCCAGGTTCTGCCCGATCAATCTTCCCAGAAAGCATTTGTAGAGAAACGTTAACCTGTGCTCACTGGACACTTGATAATCCATCATAATTGTCACGTTTAGTGAAAACAACTGAATAAACAAGAAAGGGTGCCGATACTGCCATTCCCAGATGACAAAAATTGAGAGCAAGCTGAGGCTGGAGTCACCTTGAGGTCAGACCCCTGCCAGCCTCTGGTCCAGACCTCTGGTCAAAACATTTTACAGGGGGCTGGAGAGATGACTCAGTGGTTAAGAGCACTGGCTGCTCTTTCGGAGAACCTGGGTTCAATTTCTAACATACATGCAGCAGCTCACAATTATCTGTAATTCCAGGGTCAGGGGATCTGATGCCCTCTTCTGCCCTCCACAGGCACTGCATACACATGGTGCACAGACATGCAGGCAATATTCCCATGCACATAAAATAATAAATCCCCCAAAATTAAAAACAAAAAACAAAAAAACAAAAACTAAAACCCCACAGACACTCCATAGAGGAGCTGGGGAGATGGCTCAGTAAAGTGCTTGTCTAGGACTCAAATATGATTCTCAGAATCCACATTTAAAAAGCTAGGCACAGCTGCCTGCTTGCAATTCCAGCGCTGGGCAAGTGGAGATGGGAAGCTCCCTGGGGCTTACTGGGCATCCAGCTTAGCCTGCTTTGGCAAGTTCTAAGAACGAGGTAGTGGTGGTGGCTTGGTTTAAAAAAAAGTAGAGCCAGGTGGTGGTGGCGCACACCTTTAATCCCAGCCCTCAAGAGACAGAGGCAGTCCAATCTCTGTGAGTTCGAGGCTAGCCTGGTTTACAGATGGAGTTTCAGGACAGCCAGGGCTACACACAGAGAAACCCTGTCTTGAAAACAAAACAGTAGAAAGCACCTGAAGAATGGCAGCTGAGGTGGTTCTCTGGCTCATGCATGTGAACATACACATACCTGTGCCCCACACAAAAAGACTCCACAAAGGGTGTATTTATTTTCTATTGCTACATTTACAAAACAATGATCACAAACCTGCTTCATACAAGCAGCATACATTTGTGATCTCAAACTTTCTGTGGTTCAAGAGGCACATAGCTTAGCTGGGGCCTCTCATAGGCTGCCATGCAGTATCAGCAGGGCCACGTTCTCACCAGTTTCTAAGCTCACCCAAGTTGTTGCCAGAATTCATTTCCTTATGGTTGCAGGACGGAGGTCCCTGGCTGTTTCCATAGACCTAACCTGGTTCCTAGAGGCCACCTGCTGTGTGACTTTCATAGGCACCTCAAGTGGGGTAGTTTGCTTCTTCCCATCCAACAGGAGACACTTGTTATAGTCTGCAATCACAAAAACCATCACAGGAGTGACTACTCATTTCTCTTGCTGCATCTTCTGGCTAGAACGAAGCCGTAAGTTCCATCCACACTGGGACTCTTTGAAGGGCATGACTCACTGGGGATTGCCCTTAAGGTGTGTCCTCCACACACTAAAACACATGTGTGATGTGTGTACACATGGCTTCAATGCAGGATTTGGAGGAAGTCAGAAGACCACAATGGTTTGCATTTTCTCTAGGTCAGACTAGGAAACCAAGTTTCATATGGGGCAGTTCTATTTGAGAGGTATTCCTCAGAAACATCTGCAGAGTGAGGGAGAAGAACTGGGAAATGAAATGGTAGTAGTTAAGTTGCAAACTGTGGGCAATTTGAATTTAATCTCCCCCTCGCCCCCGGCTTTCAGAATATACACAATACAGGACCCTTCAGTACCACATGAGGAGTAAGGAGCTGAGGTGTGAAGTGAGGCATGAAAAAATGAGGAGGCCTGGGGCTGGAGAGATGGCTCAGTGGTTAAGAGCACTGACTGTTCTTCCAGAGGTCCCAAGTTCAACTCCCAGCACCCCACGCTGGTTCATGAAGGTCTGTAACTCCAGTCCCAAGGGATCTGACCTTCTTTTCTGGCCTTGGAGGGCACTGCAAGCAGGTGATGCACAGACATACATGTAGGCAAAGTACCCCCCCCCCACACACACACAGATTATGAGAAACGAGAGGGTAATTGCCCATGGAGGAAATTTGGGAAGGGCAAATAATAATTTTCTTTCTAATAATGTTTCTTTAACTTTTTAATGAGGTGTGTAGGATACAAATGAAGACACACATACATCCCAGATCTACACCTTGGTGAATTCTCACAACCAGAACGTGTCCACAGGAGCAGCATTTTAGAAGCTGCCTTTGTGCCCCTTCCTGTCGTGATCCCTCTTTCAAGGGTAAGTGGTACCCCGAGGTAGAACTGTGTGGATTAGTTTCGTCTACTTTGTTTTCACATAAGGGAATCACGCATGTACTTACAAATTTTCTTGTGTGTGTGGTATAAAGTGTCTGTGTGCAGCTGTGAGTGTGCATGTCGGGTCAGAGGCTGACGTCTGGTACCCCCCTCTGTCTGTCTCTCACTACCCGAGGGTCTGACTGAACCAGAAGGTTGCAGTTGCAGCTAGACTGGCTGGCCACCAAGCCCTCAGAGTCCACCTGCCTCTGCCCACCCCTCACTCCCACCCCAGTGCTGGGGTCGTAGGTACCTGCCACCACGCCTCGCTTTTTAGACAGGTGTGAACACAGGTGTGAACTCATGCTAGCATGGGAGACACTTACCCACTGAGCCATCTCCTTAGCCCATGGGTATTTATTTCTGGATGACAGTTTTGCTCAGTCTTGAGGTCATCCACACTGTGACGTGCTCATGGGTTATGCGTTCTCATGCTGTATAATATTCCGTGTTGCAACGGTGTACAATTCCCTGATGATGGGTATCGGGCAGTTTCTTAACAGGACTTCTGTTTGATGTGTGTTGTACAGTGTCCTCTGTTGCCACACGAATCCTTAAGTAGCAGTGTGAGTTATGAGACGTTTCAATAAGGTGAACGCTAAACCCAGTGCAGGGATAGCTCAGGATAGAACAGAAGCCATGTGTGAGCTAGCCATGCTGGTCTGCTCTTTTGTTTTTAGTGGTTTTAGTTACTCATTAGATTTCATTTAGCAGAAGCTTGAGTTGCCTGGTCAGGCAGACAGTGGATCTAGAGAAAGACCTCCAGCGATGTCTTGCACAGCTTTTCTCTTCCATTTTCCTTTTTTATGAAAGGTTCCAAGGTCCCATTCACTTATCAAGGGAATGGATGTGTGACTCAAAAAGACAATCAAAGCTTCATTCTTGTAAACTTGAGAACTCGTCAGCCTCTGCAATCATGTAAGCTAATTCTGATTCCTTATAGTGAATCCACACACACACACACACACACACACACACACACACACACACACACACATACACACACACACACACACACACACACACTAATAATAATAATAATAAAATTAAAAAAGCCTTAACTCACTTATCCAGTATGTGCTCTAAAAATGATAGTTCTTGAACTGTGTTGATGATAGAAGCAGGAGGCACCCCACCCTCGAAGACTACTGGGGTCAGCAGGAACTGCAGCAGCAGCAGCAGCAGCAGCAGCAGCAGCAGCAGCAGCAGCAGCAGCAGTAAGAGGGCCCAGTCTAAGTATCCAGCTAGGAACAAATGAGAAAACCTCTGACAACCGGAGCAGGAACAGACTCGAAAGCTGCAGGGTGGGGTCAGAGGTGAAGGATGGAGTGGCGGTCTTACTTTTTCTGGTCCATTTTCCTTGCTTGTGCCTCAACATCGAGGGAGGAGGGAGAGCAGCCAGAGAACTTGCTCTGGGTCTGGTGGGCTTTTGCTTTCCCTTCCCGGGCTCTCTCCTGATTGGTCCTCATTCTTCACTTTATTTGCATACATACAACCAGAGTCTGCCATCTCTATAAGCCAGTGGTTCTCAACCTTGTGGGCTGTGAACCCACTTTCAGGGAGTGCAACGGCCCTTTCACAGGGGTCGCCTAAGCCCACCAGAAAACACCGATATTTATATCACAATATCTAACAACAGGGAAAGAAATCGACGTCAGGCGTCAGAGACGGCTTAGCAGTTAAGGGCCCTTGTTGCTCTTGCAGAGGACCTGGGTTTGATTCCCAGCACCCACATGGTAGCTCACAACCATCCATAATTCCAGTTCCAAGGGTTCTGACTCCCCCTTCTGACCTCCTCAAGCAGACAAATAATGTGAAAGAGCAAATGAGGTGTGTGTGGGAAGGGTCAGAGAAAAGTAAGAGAGGGAATGATGTCATTGTGTTTTCATTTTAAAAAATATATTTTTAAAGAAATTTGGGCCCACTGTTTTTTGCTCGAGTTGTCACCCCTGGGTGACTCCATTTTCCTGTTTGAATTGTTTTCCTGAGTGGTGAATACAGTCTCTCTATTTGTTCCTTCTTTGCTGTCTGCCTCCTTCATTCTGGGATGAGCGGCCAAACAACAGCCCGCCACTGTCTTACCACCACAGTCCCCAAAGGGTCCCCGCTTCCTACCCGTCCTAAGTGATGCACAGCCCTTCTTTCTAGCCAGTGCAGAGTTTGATCTGTTACCAAGGAAACAAGCCATTAAAGCTTCTCTGGCCACCGATCTCCTCCCCATATCCCGCCCAAGGATTTAAAAACCCATGTTAGTTATTGTTCAAATGAATCCAGAAACGGAAATGGATAAAACATCTGCTGTGGAAAAGTACCAGAAAACTATGAAGCTGAAATTAACCACGGAAACATCCTCCGTGAATGATTTATCGGCTCTCATTTGAGCCGTGAAGGGATTGAGAATAGATAATTGAGGGTTATGATGGGCTGGTCTGGCACATGCCCCTAGTTGTAAATCCATGGTAACTGGGAGGGAGTTTGGAGTGAACAGAAAGTTGTTGACCGAGTGGGAGGAAAAAGCCACCGTGAGTGTCATAGCTTGCGTTAGGCTAGTTTAACTCATTGTAGGTAGTCAGGAGTGTGGCCTCCAACCAGAACAGATGACCCAGGACAGACCCGCCTTGGCTTTGCTTCTGTTTCTAGTGATTCTGACCAGTGTGGTGGTGTAAGACTTCTTACAACAGCATCCAGGGGATTTTTCTGCAATGCTTCTCTGCTGCTCACTTCAGTGAAATGGCTTTCCTGGTTGTCAGGAGGTGATGTGGGTTGAAGTGGCCACGTTAGCTTTCCAGAGCACCTTCCTCTGTTTCCTCCGTGTTCAGAACCACGCTGGTGTCCTCCGTAACACCTTGGCTCTGTTTCACTCCCCAAGAAAGGAAGAGTTCTCAGCCGTCTCCTCCTGTTGTCTCCTTTGTCCTTATTCTGCATAGTTTTGCTTTTTTCTCTCAGCAGTTTGTACTCAGTGTTCAGCCAGGCCTGGAAAGGGGCCCTGGCTCTTCCCACAGCTGGCTCCCAACTTTATGTTCCTGTTGATACCTGCAGCTGATTATGACGATGATGTTTAGACCATGAAACCAATCAGATTGTTAAAGTATAAACAGTACCTGAGTGATTGTGCTGTTCCAGCCCTAGGGCGTGGAGCTCACAAGCTTACGAGCACTAGTGGTCAACAGGGCTCTCGGGTTTAGCTGCTGTCCCTGTGGCAGTCTGCCAGCTCCTCCCCCCAGGTTCTGGCAGATGATTTAGGGGTTCTCCTATGCCCAGAGCTTCCTACAAACCATCCTGTCCTTCTTACTCTCAGAGTCCAACACGAATGTTCTGTTTTAAATCAGCCCTTGAATTTGGCGGATCAAAGGGATAAGCCATCACTTCATTTTATTGCCGGTGTTCATGAGCTTTTGATTTTCCTTTAACCGCTTTTGTATGGGGATCAGGGATCAAAAAACTACGCTGCCACCACCTCTCAAGAAGCTGCAGACTGGGTGATGTATAAGGTTCCACCTGGTTCCACCTCCTGCTGTGTGCAAACCATTACAAACACTTTTGTGAAGCAGTAAACAGACCTAGAGATAGATGCTCTTGGCCATGGCTGGAGGTTGCCTCCTGTTAGAAGGAGCATCTTCTGCTGATTTTTATGGAAAGAGTCCTTCACTCAGCCACTAGCTGCTGGGGTCCTGCAGGCATCTTCCTACAACCTACTGAACCTTTGCCTGCTTTCTATACCTCCAATGTTCCCCTACCTTTCTGGTCACTGTTTAACTTATCAGATAGGAAAGCAATAATAATAAAAATTTAAAAAACCGGTGTAAAACCTTGACCTTAAAGGAAAAAAAGGCTACTTTTCTATAGCTACCTCCTGCAGTAAAGAAAGTTCCAGAACTCATGACCTCAGAAAGTGTCTCAGAATTCATGTCAGTTCCTTGTTTTGCAAACAAAATAATTTTCCACAGAACTGAATTAAACAAAAGAGTAAAGGTATCTTGAGTATTATTATTTTTGGAATATCATTTTGAAAAGGAATACAAACTACAATTAAATTATTATAACTGCATTAGTTTTGGGCTTTCTAGAAAAACGAAGAATCGGGCATGTGTGTGCATGTTTGTGATTTCGCATAAGGTATTAGCTCCCATGATTGTGGACACTGATAAGTTCCCAAATCTGTGGGTGGGAAGCTGGAGATCCAGGGAAGCCAGAGCAAAGCTCTTGTCCAAACCCAAAGGCCTGAGAACCAGGAGACTGATGGTGGTGTTCTTGTCCAGGGCTGGCAGGCTGGACAACCAGGAAGAGCTGAGGGTTCAGGATGAGGCGGGAAGAGGCTGGTGGTCCAAGCGTTTGTCAAGCAGGAGGCATCTCATTGCTCTTACTCATGGGAAGCTCCTTATTTCTGTTCTATTTGGGCTTTTAACTAATTAGTAAGGTCAACTACGTCACTTCATCTATTGATTTAAATGTTAAACTTAGCTGGAAATACCCTTACAGAAATACCCAGAACAATGTCTCATTAAATATCTGGGTGTCAGGTGGCCTGGCCAAACTTATATCTAAAATTAATCATTATAGCTACTAATCATTGAATACTTTTCAAGTACTAATGACTTTGAAATGATCTTTTCTAAGCCAGTTGTACTAGGGGCCACTGGAGAAGACGGTTCTGTCTACAGTGATCTGTTGTAGAAGTCAAGGGAGAGAGGAGAGGGGGCTGGGATGAATTCTCCGGAAGTGTCTAGAATGATGTCTCCCACCCATCATCTCAGCACTTGCCAAGCTGAGATAGGGGGATTGAAGCCAGCAGAGGCAACACAGGGAGTCCCTGTCCCTAAACAAGCAAACAAGTTTATCTCATTTAGCCCGATTTTATAGAGTAGGGAGTTAAAGGAAATGAGCTGAGATGACGTAAAGAGAAAATAGCAGGAGTCCAAATCCATAATTTCTCCTGTCCTTTTC